GTTGCAGTCTTTACAACAGGTTCTCTTTTGCATAAAGAAACTTTATACAGCAACATAATAGTCTAGTCTACTTGGTTTTACTAGATTATGAGTAATACAACTCCTGTGATGTGTTGTTTCTGGTGATTGTAGTAATTTAATCATACTTACCAGCCCAAACACATCTACGCAAGACTAATAAAACCGTGTGGTTTATACTTTACGGTATTTAGGGCATGGGATTCACAAGCAATGGCATCTTGAGTATTGAGTCAGTAGGCATCAAGAGGATAAATCTATATTTGCCATGTTTCAGTGATAACAGTTTCCTGTATGGCATTGTTCACCCAATTTTAGATCGTCTTTCTCCTATAACGATTTTGAAATAGCCTTGAAGTTGCTAGCAAATGACATGGTAACCCGTTGATTCCTTGGATAAAAGGATTTTGACCAGGAAGACCCAGCACGGTTACTCAACAACAAATGCTCCAAGATTTTCAGTGCCTCAGTACAAACATACCCAAACTAAACAATGCGACTATGCATATACAAATACACAAAAAGATAATTTTCTGGTGAATGATTAGTCAGCTTATTCCTGAGTTCTTCCTATAAGCAACGTTGCTGCCCTTAAAGGATTTTGTCACAATCTTACAATCCAGCCCCCTCCCTATGGTGCAAGATGAGTGGCACCAACTTAGTTCTAACTCATTTCATTTCAGGTGTGCAAAGTTGTTTTAGCTGTAAAAATCCATGTCCTAGACAGGTAAAATCATCCCAACTATGATGTGCTATCTGTGTTTTCAGAAAGCTTTTAGTTTGTCCAAGTCTCAGATGTATGTATTCCTGCACTTGAAACCACAGTGCAGGTAACAGTTCATACCTGCCTCAGGGATGTCAGTGTACGTGGTGATCTTCAGTCTTTGCTTGAACACCTTCCTTCTCTTTTTTTTTTTTTGAGAACAGAATATTTACCCTTCCAGTTGGCAATTTTTGTGCTATTTGGAGCCAAAAAGCTTAGAAGAGTCTGCTTTTTGGAGAGTTATAAGGCAATGAAAACAAAGTAAAAACAGTCCAGGAAGGGAATAAAGTGCACAGCAAGACAGAGGCAAGGACTGCTGTGACCTACTCAGTTTTTGCAACTTAAGGTATATAATTCTATGTTAATAAGTGTTCCAGGTTCTGAACATCCCCATAGGGAAAAACAAAACAAAACACAAGCAAAGCAAAAATCCCAAACCAAACAGTAATAATTAGAAAACAAGTTTTCTTTCTCATTTTGCCTTTGCATTTCACCATCTATTCTCTATTAACTGCTCTCTTCATTTGTTTGCTCAATCTTCTCTCTTGAGCAGATAAAAGGGTTTCATTAAAGCAAAGCCTAATGCTGTCAGTGGCAGGAGAGCTGCCAACCCTGGCGGTTTTAGTAAGTCTATTAAGCTGACCTAAGCATGCTAATACCAATAAATTCCTTCTATTCACAGCAGTCCTTTGCGAATATTCCTTTATCTCATATGAAAAACTAATTTATGCAATTCAAATGAGTAATAAAAGACCAGACCCCACACTCTACCTTATCTTTAGATAGAGATGTATATACAGTTCTGTCTTAAGAGAAGCAGCAGCATACTATCAATCGTAACTTCTACTGCTGTACCAGAAGCACTTCTGGAGATTACAGAAAGATCTAGTAACAGCTTCATGAAAAGTATTCCATTTCAGAGATTATTAAGAAACCACCAGTACTGGACAATCAAAACAAAACTTTTTTTTCCAAGGATTTCCTGCCGTAGCCCATTTGCAGAGCAGATGTTCTAAATGTATCTGAAGGACATCTGTTACACCCATCTAGTATAGTTTATCTCTAAATTATCCAGAGGGGGGAAAAAAAAACAAAACAGATTCTACAAATCACTGACATCTTCTGTCACTGCCATAGCACTTAATATGTTAGAAAATACTCTGAAGAGTAACAAATGAACTATGTAACAGTACTAGTCAGCATCACTGCTCATCAAAATAAAAGCCTTTGTCCTCCTTAAGATCATTTTCCTTTCTTTGGGGCTCCACAGCTCCAGCTATCACTTCACATTTAATTGAAACAAAGTTTTTAAAGCAACAAAGCATTGAACATAGAAGAACAAATCTGTAGCAGTAGAAGAGTTCCAGTTCAACAAAAATCTTGACATAAAAATCTGAGGCATTCTAAAAGAGTGCTCATGTCAAAAAGAGAAGATTGATCATAATTCTTCTCTCCTGAAAGATTAATGTCATTGTTTAGGTAATGTAATAAATGGGGGGGGCACCACCCTGATGTCTAATAGGGAACATACTCAATAAGCAGCATAATTTATTTAAGTGCACATTTACCTGAGAACTAGTCAGGCAAGTGCAGAAACAATGGTGGAACAGTCCCACGGCGTATTTTTCCAGCCATTTGTGATGACCATAATAGAAAACATTGGCTAGCAACAGCTGATTTTTTATTCATTCTCCATTTTCAAGTTTTGCAAAGGGTACTGGAGACCTTACTTGTTTCAGTTCATCCAAAACTACCATACAGGTGGAAAAATAATAAAAGGATCATGGTTCTGTGAATAGACAGGATCATATTTTAAACTCAAAACCTAAACTGTCTCAATAAGAAAAAAAGAACTCACCTTTGAAAGGGTTTAGCACAGAAAAACTAATCACGCAGGTGCCTATTATTACATTTAGTGCAGAATTTATACACCAGCTACTCCAGTAAGGCTAACAACACATCAGCAACTTTGCACAGAAGCAGAACACCTACCAAGGAAAATAAATCAGTCTTCTCCATTAAGGACTGTCCTTCTGCCCCCCCAAGGAAACAGAAATTATGCTGAGGCGACCTACAGCAGGTAGCAACCATGTTGCTTAGCCGTAGCTGTGCTGAAGCCTTCAAATCAAGGACAGTTTGGCACTTACACAGTGATGAATTAGGCTTCTTCACAATCACCTGAGTATACCACTAAGCAATTCTCCACCGTCTTGTTTCATTAATTTATTCCATATCCTTGCAGGGCAGAACAGTACTTAGACTAGATAATGCAACAGCCTGCAGACCTCTTCTCACACGGCTCAGTTCTGCTGTCCTATTGCATGGTAACACCCGCTTGTCAGAGAACAGAAAATACAGATGAGTTACAGCATGAAGCAGCAAAGGAAATTCTCTCCTGCTAATAAACTCACTTTACATATGAGAAATATGGCAACACTTTTTCGTATTCTTTTTAAATAAACACTTTTAGAATCTCATCTGAATGATCTGTGTGATGCTTATGAATGTGCCCATCTAATGAAGGAGAAAGACTTCAATCATTCTGTCCCTAAATTCACATCTAAGAGGTCAGTTTTATAGCACAATACTAGGTATTTCTGCATTCCTATTTTTTAAGCTTATGGAAAAAACCACAAATTAAGGCCCTTGACAAAAATCTAGTTTGTCACAGAAGGCTATGCAAATACAAAAAAAAAAAAAAATCGCAGAGGATATCAATGTATTTTATAGATTCTTCTCTAGTGCCATCTTGCTACCGAAGTATTCCCCTTGTGGTAAAAACCTTAGTTAGGAAAGGATTGTGTGTAAAGGAACTTGTGACAATCATCCTCCAACTTACATTTACATAAAAATGGTAAAGTTTTAGCAAATACAATTATTTCTTAACAACCCATGTATTAGTTATTGAGGAAACTGATATTGTTCCAAAAATAAACATGTAAAAAAATGTGTTACCATTCTTTCTTCAATTATTAAGTCTAGGTACCATCAACACATAAAGGTAAGAGAAAGCAATAAAACCATTATTTTGTAAGAATTTATAGTATTTTTGTGCACAGCTGTTGATTTATATAAGCGGACTTTATACTGCTAGGCAACGTGATTAATATACCAGAAAAGAAGGTAAAAAGTAGGTCAGTGATATAGTACAATGGTTCTTCAACTCAACTCGCCTCCTCCTATTTTGTAGCACTAAATAACACCGTAACTAGATATTGAAGACAAGAATTATTAGACATTACCCACCTTTGACCTTTACACAAAATTCCCAAGACATCTATAGAAATTCTACAGCTGCACAAAACAGAAAAAGGTCCATGGCAAACATGGCTTTCAGGATTTTCTCTTCAATAAATATCACAAGCATAAGAGAGGCAGCAAATGTTAACATTTTATTTGTTTTGAACATACAAATGTTATAACTCTCCGAAACAATTCTTTTAGAGCCATCTTGTGGGGAAAATAAGCAATTTAAAATAATACATGTACTCTAATTGGTTTTGTACCAAAAAGATCAGTGTTCAGTATGACATCTTCTAGTACTCTTAAAAAAATAAATGTCTCAGTCACACTATAAACTTTATACAACATTGTTTAAACCACTGGAACATGAAAGAAGTGCCTTTATGAACAATAATGTGTTAAAAGATTGGTTCTAGATAGAAAAAACATGTATCATTAAGTTAAAGATGCTAATTTTCTGAAGAATGCTTTTAGGCCAGATTCCGTTCAAACTCTACCCAATTGCAGCCCACAAAAAAGCACAAAGACCTAGAGAAGCTGATCATTTCTTTCAGAGCTCGCTTGGCCAAATGTGTAAATCAGATGGAAACATTCAATCTAACTAAAACGGGGTAAAAAAACCCCAAATATATCTAAATAAATTAGTAGATTCAGCACTTGAAGCTGAAAAGCTTTGTTTTTTAACATCCTTAGCATTACCAGTTTATTTAAAGTTTTGGTAATCTGCTAGTTCTGAAGGACTTTACAGGAGTTGTTTATAAAGAACTCAATAAATGACAGTTTTCTGTTTGTGTACGCTTAAGTGAAGTACACAGCTGGGCAGTCAATTTCAGAATAATCAAAAGTCATGATGCAGGCTTCAGCTACCTAGAGCAATCAAACATTAGCTGCTGCTTGATCTACGTGTCTTGTCTACGAAGCAAAGCATTTGTATTTTATCCTAGAGAACAAAAGCGCACATGTAGTCCATATATTTCTTACACAGTTTTAACTTATGCCCTATTAAAGTACTTCACTTACATAGAACATTAAAGTGTATCACATCACATTTATGCAATACGTAATTATCTGCTATTAATACGAAAGTAAAACAAAATATCACAGAACACTTTTACAAAGTGCACAATCAAGAGGTGTCACAGAAATATGCACTTTTTGGAGCTGTTACAATCAGTGTACAGTATAGACTAGCAGGCACCTGTTAATTTTTGGATTTTTTAAAATAAATAATGAAATCTGACAACAAAAGGGTTCTACAGTACCCAACACCTCTGACAGCTGTAACTAAACAGAACATACTGGCACCCAGATGTATAACCAAACAGTTTTTGCTAAGGCAAGCATGAGTATGTCAACTTTTAATTTTACACTTCTACCAAACTTTGAGTGAAAGAAGGTACACATGTGTGCTTACAGCCTTCCTTCCTCCTTAAAGATGACAATGAGATCCGCCTCCTCTACATCCTCTTTAAACTTTGGAAAGGAGTCCCGACTCAGGGGCACTTGCCTTAATGAGATTTTGGATTTCTTTGAATTTTGGATGTTCTTTATCAGCTACCAGCTGCAACAATATAGCTTCGCTGGTAGTAACTATAATTCCAGTACGAGCAAGACGCTGAAAGAGAAAAGAGCAGAGAGAGAATAATGTGATATACTTGCAAATATGAATGAGTATACATTTTGTAAACCAGACAGATGGTATATTTAAAAACATCTCCTATTAGCAAAAGGATTGTCAATTCCAGTTCAGAATTTCTTAGTGGTTCCATTCATAAAGCTGAGATGGAAAGTGACTGATTTTAGACTTTACTAAGGAAAAAGGCTTCCCTGGATTTCAAGTAGTGCTTCCTACTTTGACTGAATTCTTTACCCATGTCAGATTTAACACATAGAAGACCAGCCCCCTCCTATATTAATAACACTTTCCCCTTGCATGGTCCCAAAGATAGCTTTCTTCAGTCTCATGCAGATTTGAAAGGCCTGAGGCAAAAGAAAATAGTGAGGTCCAAGCTGAAGGCATTAAGCAAGAAACTTAATTGTAACAATTCCTTTTTGAGGGCTTGTTATGTACTAGTTCTTTTGTCTTTGGACTACACAGTGCACTAGTACTAATAACATCAGCAGTCAGAACAAAAAGCTTTTCTACAGACCTTATAAATCATACTGGCACAACAGCAGCTACTTTTAACTGACATTACAGCCTCAGTAACTCCCGCACTAGTTCTGACAGACTACAGAATAAAAAGCATGGCCACATAAAAAGCAAAACTGAAAGAGGTCTGCTAGATCTTGCAAGTGTGCAACTAAACTAAGCAATGCTTTATATAGCCTAAACCGCAGGACTTACTGCAAAGTTTCTGGACTTTAAGGCTGTGGTTGTGGCCTGTGAATCAAAGTTATCTTTAAGTAAAAGCTGATGACGCCCTATGATGCCCTGCACTCCATCAGCTTCCCAGCAACCGTACAGGTACTTTGCCAGTAAAACTCTTCATGGATCCAGCTTTCCCTCCCTCATCCTCTACTCAGCTGCATATTCCACCAAATCTAACTGGGTCCTGAATGAGCCAAGGGAGGGCAAGAGGTATAAAATACAGATACATACACCTTCAGACAGGTTTCAGTTGTAATTACTAAAGGAAAGACAAGCTCCAGTCTTTCTAAGGAAGACATAGATCACTGCTCTTCAGTTGTTCAATTACAAAGCAATTGATGGAAGAAAGTTACTAATTTTAGGGGACCAGTAAAGTATATGTAACTACAGTCTATATAATGACAAAGTAACCAGGCTAGATTTACTCAAGTCAGTGCTTCCTGCTTGCAATAATAGCAGCAAGGCTTGCAATATTCTTAAGTTGAAACAAAGCAGATCGCTGCCTCAGCTCTCCTACTCTTGTACAACGACACATTTGTTTAAACCATATACACATACAAAAGAAAAAAACAGGACAATCAAAATAAAATATTATGGCAGTGTTTTCAAGATGTACTTCTCCAGGAATACAAGTTTTTGCTTTTAACTGGGATGGATGAGAGACAAAAAAACTTTTGAAGAACCTTGTCTTCTGAGAAATGTTGACTGAAAAATGAGGTCTTCTCTTTAGAAGCAAAACATACCATAGCATGTGGAAGAAGCTAGCATTGGCTCATATTCTACTTCTAAGACCAAGAATAATTTATATAGTTTTGAGATTAGTAGGAACAAAGAGATGCATGTGCTAAGCCTACTGGATGATTTTCAAGGAAAGGAAAAGTTTTCTTAGAACACAGTCCTTCAGGCTAAGGAGAGCAGCAAGGGTGTGTTGCATCCACACTGCAGGAACAAGTAGAACAGAGAAGAAATCCAGCATGAACAGACTAAGCTGGCTCAATTCAAGACCAAGCAGTGACATAAGGCATCGCCATCAGATAGGGCAGAGATGAACCACAGCCACAACCTTGGCCAGTTGGGCTGAATTATTTCATCAATGGACATTTTGAGGTTTCTTTGTTTCTGGTGGTTCTTTTGATTGCAAGGTTTTGCCTGCTCACATTTTTAAGCGCACAACAGAAGTGGAGACAATAACTCTTTAGGGTCATCCAGGCAGACATGAACACTTGGGCTATCAATTAATTCAAATTTCACTTCCTACTACACCTGTTCAGATTATTTGCATGTTCATCACCAGCACCATCAAAACACATGCTATGTGAGGGAAAATGTGGAAAGCTGAAGGGGCATCCAGGACCAGATAGGATTTATTTGAGCCTGCTGAGGAAGCTGGTTGTTATCACTGCAAAGTCACTCTTCATCATCCTTGAAAGGTCACTGTGAACACAGGAGTGTTACCAGGAAAAGACAAATGTTACACCAATCTTTCCAGAAAGGTAAGGAGAATGGTCCAGGGAACCCAGATCAATGAACTTTACCTCAGCTCACCAGGTATGGAGCAAGTTTGCACAAGAAAGAATGTCAGAGTCACTAATTAAAAGAGTGAGACTAGGAACTGTCAGCCGTACAGTAAGACTAAAGCGGGATTACCCAATGTGTTGGTATTTCACCAACTTCCCTAAGAAAAATATCACCATGGTGAAACAGGATTACTGACATGCCCAGTACATGTGTCCCTTTCTCCTGGTCTTGGTTCCCAAGTATGCCCACCTTTTGTCTGCTACAGCCCTCAGCAGCATTTTCAACTTTTTCTTCATGCTTAGTGAGAATACATTGCAAAGACATATAAAAAGTTACCTAAAAATGACCAATTTGCCTGCATTACAGCTTTTGCAACCAAGCATGCTTTTTAAGATAATCAATACCTTTTTGACTAGAAAGAAAAGCAACGCTAGCTAGTCATTGCTTTAAACGCTATTACACTGAATCAGCTTCCACATACGCAGACACAGTGTAAGTGATAATCAAACACATAAAGATATACATAATAAGGCAAACAGATTTCAGTTTTTTCTATATTTGTTTTGTCTGCTACTGCTGCTGTGCCACATTGACTTGGGAAGTCCATGATTTTAGTCATTCCTGCGCTCTGTGTACGTCACTATGCTTTACGTGACAGATGACATTAAGCTTCCACTTAATCAAAGTCACGGGTTTCATCAAATGCTATATGCTGGTGATTTTCTTTTAGCCTTTAATTCTCTTATTCATGAGAAACAGAAGAAATTAAAAGTCTTCTCCAAATCTACGAAGAAAGTATAAAACACTGTAGTTACTATTAGTTTCAATTTCCAAACAATTTTTAGGGCCTGAGACAAAAATTGGAACACTTAATGTATATATCAGTTTTTGATTTCCAACAGCGATGCCTACAGGCAAGTCAGAGTACACTATCAAAAAAGCATTTGTATGAATTTACTACCATATAGTTTACATGCTTTTAAATCTTCTTGCTACATTTATCTTCACTTTCTCAACATTCAGTTAGACTAAGCTCCTAGAAGGAGGGTGGGGTGCAGGGGAAAGTCTTTGCTATAATCACAAACTCTTGAGATTAAGGTTTAATTTGCACTGATGAGGAAGAGCAGAGTGAGGGACAGACATACAAGAAGGAGCTTTGAACAAGATCACTTACTATATTCCATTGCATTTCAAGGAATTTCAACAGCAGAACAAATACTATTTGGAACAACAAACCCAAATGCTCTGTAGCACTTTTATTCTACTGTACAGATAACCCTCCATAAGAAAATATCCTAAAATGCTAAGGGTTATACAGAGTAACCTAGCTTGCATGAAACAATCACTTTTAAAATCCAAGTCTCCTAAACTGGGTTCCACATATTAAATCGTAATTTAGGGAGGAAAAACAAGGCAGTAATCCTTCTCCATCCTGGAAGCTATTCTGAGAATCTGAACATTCACCTGTCCTCAAGTTTACATTTGTCCACTGCTGACTGTCCTTAGAAATCCCTGTTAGCTTATAAGCAAGGAAATTAACATACAGATGCAAGACAGATAAAGCCTTGACTAAGAAACTTACCTCAAGAGCAAACATTCTGTCCATCATACTTCTTGATGAGGTGGCATCAGCTACAATATGAACTTCCAGACCCCTGCCAATTAATTCCAATGCTGTTTGCTGGATGCAGACATGAGTCTACAGGGGAAAAAATCAAAGGCAAAAACCCCGCCAACAAACTATTATTATAAGACATGAGTAGCACAATGCAAATCAGAGTACACAATTAATTAGGGTTCAAACATGTATTTTTCTACCCCTGCTATTACTAGGGAACTCAATGTGGGTTTCAAATGCCAATCAAGCTTGCGACAAAAGCCTGTAGTTTATAAATATCTCATTTCAATTTTTATTATGAGATAATATCAAAGAATACAAGAATAATTTACTCTGTAGAGGACATCTGAGCTCTAAGCGATTTAAATTTACTTTTTTTCCTTTTAATTACAGAAAGCAATGCTTAATAGTATTGTGGGCCAACAGACATTACCATAAAACAGTGTAAGAATGGTAAGGCACATACTTCTACACCAAACAGGACAATGCTGCGGACTCCAGGGATCTCTGCTAATGCTGCTTCAACTTCAGGCAAGACCATTGAAAATTTTGTTTTGGGAAGCACAAGTTTAGCTCCTGTTAAATCAATTTCTTGCACAGTGCTGCCAAGACCTTTGGGATACTGTTCAGTTACAATAACTGGAATTCCTAAGAGCCGTGCACCCTGGAGCTATAAGGCGGCAGGGAAGAAAGCATACAAGAAAAGAAACTGTTAAAGAACAGTAATAGCAAAGACTTTGTTACTACCTGAAACTGAACAACCATTTAACTGGCTGTGTATAAAATAGTAATTTACATGTGTGATCAAAGCTCACCACAAGAAAAAAAAGCAAAAACTATACCAGTCTTTGGCCCACGCTGATGATATCACCAAAGTACTTGATGGCAGGCCGGAATCGCTCTTGCATATCACAACAGAAAAACACAGTGCTTGAGGGTGTCAGGTTGCCCAAAGTAGTCATCTGAAAAACAAAACAGAAGTTTTCTGTGGCAGTGAAGATCTTTTCAGAAAAGAAAAGATTTCAGAAAAGATTTTCAGCAGAATCAGAAAAATTCTGCAATGCCTCTGCAAGGTCACAGATATATGTTACTTTAAGTCACAACAGCAGAAAGGTTTTTCAAGCATTATTTTGGTACAATTCTAAATTCAAATGAACAGCTGATACTCATCAGTATAGTACAGTCGTCAATAGGTAATCAAGATTTTATTAGGTGGGAGACACAAGTCAATGTGAACATGCATGGAAACTTGCGAACCCTGAAGGGGGGCAGAGGAGCATACTGCCAAAGTACTCTAAAAAAAAAAAACCACAAAAAAACAAAGAAAAGAGTACCAACTGCAAAATTACATTCCTCAAATTAATTTTTAAGTCCACATAAAATCAGGATAAATTAAAAGGTCAGTCTTCCACTTGCTTTCAATACTTTATGGATATCTATTTTCAATAGTTTGTGTAGTCCGTTCGTTTTGTCTATGACATCTTTCATCACAAGTCTGATGAAAAGTCCAAAGGCTAGAACGAAAGCAGAGAAGCTTGTCAGTATTATGACCAGAAAGTGAACTGAATATATTTGAATGCTAAAAGTAATCTCCCACAGTCTCGCTCATACAGGTGATCGAGTAGGGTAGAAGTGAGAGGCAAGAAAAAAGAAATCAAAGGTTGAATTTTCTCACACTTTGCAAGAGTGCTTTGTGTTTGTATGAAATTACTTGCACTACCTGCAGAAGCAAAGGATAAGGCTTCAGCTGGAGGCCACAGGGAAAGAAAGCAGCTACATATTATCATTACTTGTAAGGCAACTCAAGACAAATTACATCCATTCAGGAGCTTTTCAGCAGACTGATAAATCAAATTGAATAAGCTGCTTCTGGGAAGTAGACATTAATTGTATACACTTCATTTTCTGCAAACTGAGGTTGCGATTTTTTAAACTAAAACAAAATTACAAAATCTGTAAAACAGTATATTTGGAAAAGCAGGGATTAATTTGGTTTACATGGCAAGGTGTTGGCAGCACAGGAAGGCTGCAGGGGTGGCTTTTGTGAGAAGATGCCAGAAACTGCCCCATGTCAGACAGAGCCAATGCCAGCCAGCTCCAAGATGGACCCACTGCTGACCAAAGCTGAGCCCATCAGCAATGCTGGTGGTACCTCTGTGATAACATATTTAAGCAAGCAAAAAAACCCCATTGTGCAACAGCAGCTCGGAGAGAGGAGTGAGAATGTGAGAGGAACATCCCTGCAGACACCAAGGTCAGTGAAGGAGGAGGAGGAGGGGGAGGAGGTGCTCCAGGCGCAGGAGCAGAGATTCCCCTGCAGCTCATGGTGAAGATCATGGTGAGGCAGGCTGTCCCCCTACAGCCCATGGAGATCCACAGTGGAGGAGATATCCACCTGCAGCCCATGGAGGACCCCACACCCATGGCATGTGAATGCACCCAAAGGAGGCTGTAACCCTGTGGAGAGCCTGTGCTGGAGCAGGCTCCTGGCAGGACCTGTGGCCCCATGGAGAGGAGCCCACGCTAGAGCAGGTCTTCTGGCAGGACTTGTGACCCCATGGGGGACCCACACTGGAACAGTCTGCTCCTAAAGGACTGCACCCCATGGAAGGGACCCATGCTGGAGCAGTTCACAAAAAACTGCAGCCCATGGGAGGGACTGTCGTGGTTTAGGCCCAGCTGGCCACTAAGCACCATGCAGCTGCTCGCTCACTCCTCCCCCAAGCCAGGACAGGGATGCATGCTGGAGCAGGGGAAGAGCAAGAAGAGCGTGAGAAGGAAGGAGTGGCAGAGACAAAGTGTGATGAACTAACCGCAACAGCCGTCCCCCTGTGCCACTTGCAGGGAGGGGGAAGAGAAGTCTGAAGAGAAGCTGAGCCTGGGAAGAAGGGAGGGGTTGGGGGGAAGATGTTTTTACTTTTGTTCTTATTTCTTATTATTCTACTCTGTTATTGATTGGCAATAAATTAAATTAATTTACCCAAGTCGAATCTGTTTTGCCTGTGACAGTAACTGGTAAGGGATCTCCCTGTCCTTATCTTGATCCATGAGCCTTTCGTTACATTTCCTCTCCCCTGTCCAGCTGAGAAGGGGAGTGATAGAGCAGCTTGGTGGGCACCTGGAAGCCAGCCAAGGTCAACTCGCCACAAGGGAATCAGGAATCCTTAAATACTGCTCCCAAATCTTTCATTGATTCACCACATCTCCTGAGTAAACCACAGTTTATAACCACATTTCCTCTGGTCCTTGTGGGTGAAGCAGCAATACTATTAATACAAGCAGTTGGTTTGCGAAGGCAAATGCAGTAACAACCATAAAGCACGTGCTGCAACACTGAACCCCCTGATGCCAGAGGAAGACAGAAGAACATCACAACAGGCATCAAGGAAATCTTTTTCACAAGGAAGGTACAGCTGCACTGAAACAGGTTACCATGGGTGGTGGGATCTTCATGCTTAGAGGTTTTCAGCATTCAGCAAATCAACAGCTGGTTTGATCAAGAAATGGCTTTGCATAGGAGTTAGGGAAGGCAGCCTCCAGATACTTCTCCTGAATGACATTTCTGTGATTCTATACCATGTAATAAATGAGGCCTGGGACCAAGAATGCTTGAAAATAAAATCAAATATTTAATAACTGCCTTGTTCTTGAATACCACCTATCTACATGACTGACCAATGCAGAAGCGGGTTGGTAGAAGTACTAACATATAATTCAATGCCACAGTGAGCACCTACCATGACCTATTCTAACTCCGGCACTTACTAACATCAGAGCAGTCAATCATGACATTTAACTTTCCTACCACTCAGCGGCAAAAATAAATAGACAATATTTGTAAGTGTGCCTCCTACTCAGGAAACAAGTCATTTTGTCTGGGCATTTATAGGACAAGCAAAGACCATTATTCTCTTCTATAAATCATTTCACCACTTTAATTTTTTTAAGATTGTTCTGAAGTACTTCAAACCATCATAGATCATAGAGTGATCTACGTGGAATTAGTCTACTCCCTCGTATACACCGTGCTATGCCAAGGCAGTGGATGACACTACCATCCTCAGCAGAGGAACAAGTATGAATAGACTAGAAAGGTCTTCAAGAAGCTGCATAGTCTGCCTCCACAGAAGGATCACTTACCCACACTCCTTCATTGCCATTTAAGAGCATTATTTCCAGTTCTGTTCATGGTGGACTTGAAACAGAAGAGGATCACCATCCTCTTTCACATGCATAACCATGCACAAACACCTATTACCATATCTCAAGACTCAGATACAGTGTCCCTTTAGTCCTTCCCCTCCCTTATTCTAAAACATATCTAATACTTTCAATCTTACCTCCTACAACTCAATTTTCATTGCCCTCCCTAAGGTGCTTTTCAAATTGCAGTCTACAGTGAGGCACCCAACACTATTGTAACAGTACTATTTCCCTGCCCATAATACTTCTCAGAACTAGCAGAAAAGATCAGTCAATTCACAGCCGTTGCAGGCCCTGTTCAATTTGTACTTTCCAACATGCTATCTGCTCTTTTCATAATTGATGATATGTAGACTCCTGAGGTGCATTTTAACCTCAAATTTATGCCTTGAACTCTCCCTCGTCTTTTATTTGTGTAGTTGATTATTTCTACCTTAGCACAGGAATTACTTCTGCTTTTCTTGCTTCCATTTTGAACTGCATCTTATTTCACCTCGTTTCTCCAACTTGTCATGAAAAGCCTCAATTCTGTTCTCTCAGATGCTTGCAGCTCCTCTGAGATCGGCACCTTCTGCAAAAACAGTATTTGCCCTAAGTTTCAGCAATGACATGGATGATGGAATATTTACAAACAGTTGATTAGGAACATATCTTATAGAGCCCAACTCGTTATTCTGAATTGACAGGGAAACATGAAAGAAAACTGACTGCCTTTCCAGCCAGGGAGCATATTCATTAAAGACTTTAACTGAATCCATAATTGTTTGATGACAAACATCACAGGGAGCTGGAGCAAAAGCCTTATATCTACTTTCCTCTATTACCAAGTTGGTTTAATATGATTTAATTTATGCCTTCAGTTTAATACTAGTAACTCCAAAATAAAAGCTGGGTCAACTAAAAGCTTTTACAAAATCTAACACAAATAATTCCTAGATTGATTTTCATATTTTTTCTGATTAACCTGCAGTTTGAATCAAACCATGCAACACATGGCAGAAGAAGAAGAAACCAGAAAAATAGATGGCAAGATCAAAAAAAACCCAAAAAACAACAAAATCAACACTTGCTGGTGTTACTTGGAATAGCAGATGTGGGAAGGACAGAGCACAGCAGAAAGCAGTTTGAAATTAAGTTTCATAAATAGTAGCCAATGCAGTCCATAAATAGTCACAGGAGTATCTGCTATGTACAAAGGCAGTTTCCATTTACTGGTTCTTCAATGTGCCACATAAATCCTACCACTCACTTGCTCTGAAAGCTGTCCTCCCCTTCCTGGGGAGGCACACCATGTCAGGGACATGGGACACCTCCACCTCTCACATCCTCCGACAGTGAAAACCACGACCACCCACACGGCTCCCTGCCAGTGAGCTGGGGTGGGGGCAAACCTACACCCAAACATCATACCCTGGGCTGGCATGTCAGCACCTGTCTGCATTCACTCCAAGGAGAGGCAGGCTGGGCAAGGATGGGGAGCCACTGCAGCCACAGGGTACCCGTCCGAATCCACTCTGAATATAACATCTACTCAGCCACAGTATCATTAAACAGCCTACATTTAAAAGCAAAAAAAAAATAACCTGAAGTTCCCACACACAGTGTATAAGCTTTTCCATTTGTTTCACTTCACCCTTCTCAGTTAGTCACCAGGACTTTCTTCCCTCCAGATGGAAGTTATTCACAGCACAACCAGAATAGATAGGTATGTCAGATGGACACGTAACCTGATGCAGCTCTTTTACCGAGCTAAAGGAGT